TTGGATCATAAGGTAACGTGTAACCAACGCTGAAAAGCATTTGACTCTATCTCAATCCGTTGAGAAGTTGCAGCACTTTGAAATCAATTTTGATGGAAAAAAATCAACGCAAAATAGTGATTTTTGGCAATTTTGAGATGTCCCCTCGTTGCCATGGTAACAGAAAATTTAAGCCTGAGCATGTTGTTGCAAGGGCAATGGTCCAGTCAACATTTGTTCCAAGTTTGATTAGTGTTGAAGCAGTTTTTATAGTATTATAGCAATTTGAACTTGTAACGGGAGACTTTTCAATGAAAACAGCCATTTTTCACAAAATGCTCATGAAGTAATGGGTTAAATCCTATTGTTAACAGTTCTCTGGCAATGTGCTTACTAGCCATTACTGACTATGAAGAAGTACTTTAATATGAATATTTGGCAAAGTACATACAATTGTATCTTAAATTCTTTATATCAAAAGAACATTTACATGCTTTGCTTAAAAATAGTTATGCAGCAATATGGTCAAATCCATATTGTGATACAATCATTGATAAAACACCTTACGTTAATACATGTTACAGTACATTCATTGTCATATAAAACAATTTAAAACTTAGGCTTTTACTTGTTATCTATTGTTATTTAATAAATGCAGTTTATTACATTATTTTTTCAGTTTGTTTTCTGTCTCAAAGATAAGATATAAATTTGTTGTGGAATTCTTGTTACCTTGTTAAAAATATAATGGTGATAAATTATGTTTTGTCTTTTGAAGTAAGTTAGATTTTTGATAGTCTGTATCGTACTTTCCTTAAAACAGTGACTTTGGAGAAGCAATTTTCAAACACATATACACGTATAATTTATCTCTTGGTACAGTTAGTATAGATAAATATAAATATTTGATAATGTTACAAACCTACCTGTACTACCTACTTGTACCATTATCTTCTGCTTTTTTACAGGTGCTGGAGACAATGCCATCAGTTGTGCTATAATGATAGAGATAATCCGTGTATTATCTCAGTCAGCAACCCCTATCCAACATAGTATGGTGTTTCTCTTTAATGGTGCTGAAGAAAACTTATTACAGGTAAGTCTTAATTTCATTGTTACTTGAAGTTGTGTCTCTTTCCTTAAAATAGCCAAAAGTAGTTCATTTATTCTTATAAGTCAACTTATCATAATGTACAGCTTTACATGGTTAAATTATGTAGTTTAAATTTTGACATTGTGTTTGATTTTAAGTCAAAGATTTACTTTGCTTTTATATCAGGAACAAGAAGAATTTGAATGTTTATTATTATAATTTAAACATATTTTCATTATTGTTGAACATTCAGATTCAGGGTTCTCACTAGGACTTTAAAACATGGAGTCCATGGACTCCCAAGCCTGAAAAAGTTGTAGTCCAAAAGCGCATCGCAATTAATATGTTTACTGACAAGTCATTTAATGCTCACAATAGCATTGCTGATATGAGACTTTCAAAGTTTATAGTTATTCAAAACAAACTCTGAACTACATAGTATAATTATAGTTTTGTTGTCAATATTTATAATGAAATTAAATTATAATGCATCAACACATGGGAATCGTTTTTTTTTTTTTTCACTTTTATACCAAATCAAATTTTATTCTGGTTAAATAAGTCCGCTATAAAGACCAAAAGTTTATATTTGTAAAAAAAACGTAAATGTATATAGGCAGCGTTTAGCAGAATGAATAGGAAAATCGTGTACAGCTTCACACAGTGTGTAAGAGAGTCAAAAGGGGGCAAATTGAAGATCGATAATTAAAGGTTTAGTGTTGAGTAAATAACAAAGGAACAATTCATTCATATGTTTGGCTTGGAAACTGAGAATTTTTGTGCCCTTTGTGAAATTTTAGGGTTTCTGGCCAACGTGAAATCGTCGATGTTCGGGATCATTTTTCGGATACAGTAGAATGTAAATATCAAAGAAAAGCATATGTGTATTTTGGTTTCAATATCTTAAATTCTTGATACTCTTATAGAACGTCTTTGCAAGAAAATTTTGCCAAGAAAATGCGGAAAATTTTCGACAATAATTCAAAATTACACTCATTTGTAATTTGAGAAAACAGTCTTTAAACTTCCGCCTTAAATAGTCGATATTTTTATCCTTTTGTCGGTAAAATTTGTTAATTTCCAATCAACTGGTGATCAAAGATAAAAAATTATCATCTTGTGTAATATCTGGTTATTGCATGTATAGCGCATGTATACATAAGTCTGATCTCTATTGTGTGATAATGATCGAAAGCATTATTGCTGATTGGCTAATCACTTCACTGGTCGATGTGCATAGGACCGCCTACCTAAAGACTGACACGCGTTGATATATTTGTGGTTGTAAACAATCGGTAATGTTTATGCGTCCCCAGGCAAAATTAAGTGTATGCGGAATCCTTGCTCTGAAATATTTGCGTCCAGCTGTAATAAACATGCATACCGGGACGCGAAATAAGCGTCCCCGAGAAACCTGAGATTGCATTAGTAAATTAGATGTAACTATGTTGTTAAAGATTGTTTTTGTTTTTCAATTGTTGTTATTTTCTGCAAAGCTATTTAAAACAATTAATTATTTTTTCATGTAGACTGATGGGTACTTCTGCATAACTTTTGAAACATTTCAGGCAAGTCATGGATTTATCACAAAGCATCCATGGGTTGACTCTATCAAGGCTTTTGTTAATATTGACTCTGCTGGTAACGGTGGATGGGAAGTTGTCTTTCAAACAGGTTATATTAATCAATTTACAATAGTAATTCCTAGGTGCCTTTTATACAATTTATATGATACAAATTTATTATACCCCCAAAAACGAAGTTTGGGGGGGTATATAGGAGTCACCCGGTGTTCGGTCGGTCGGTTGGTCGGTCAGTCGGTCCAGACGTCCGTTGCATTTTCCTTGTCCGGAGCATAACTTGAAAACTAACGGTTGGAATTCAATATAACAACATACAATGGTCAAGCACATTGAGAGGAAGTGCAGTGCACAAGAACCATAACTCTATCTTGACTAATTACAGAGTTATTGCCCTTTGTTACTTTTCCTTGTCCGGGGCATAACTTGAAAACTACTGGTTGGAATTCAAAACAACTTCATACAATTGTCAAACACAATAAGGGGAAGTGCAGTGCACAAGAACCATAACTCTATCTAAAGTAATTACAGAGTTATTGCCCTTTGTTGCTTTTCCATTGCTTTTTTTTTGTTCGTTGCATTTTCCTTGTCCGGAGCATAACTTGAAGACTAATGGTTGGAATTCAATATAACTACATACAATGGTCAAGCACATTGAGAGGAAGTGCAGTGCGTAAGAAACATAACTCTATCTTGACTCATTACAGAGTTATTGCCCTTTGTAACTTTTCCTTGTCCGTGGCATAACTCGAAAACTACTGGTTGGAATTCAAAACAACTTCATACAATTGTCAAACACAATAAGGGGAAGTGCAGTGCACAAGAACCATAACTCTATCTAAAGTAATTACAGAGTTATTGCCCTTTGTTGCTTTTCAAATGCCTTCTTTTTTTTGTCCGGAGCATAACTTGAAGACTAATGGTTGGAATTCAATATAACTACATACAATGGTCAAGCACATTGAGAGGAAATGCAGTGCATAAGAAACATAACTCTATCTTGACTAATTACAGAGTTATTGCCCTTTGTTACTTTTCCTTGTCAGTGGCATAACTTGAAAACTACTGGTTGGAATTCAAAACAACTTCATACAATTGTCAAACACAATAAGGGGAAGTGCAGTGCACAAGAACCATAACTCTATCTAAAGTAGTTACAGAGTTATTGCCCTTTGTTGCTTTTCAATTGCCTTCTTTTTTTTTGTCCGGAGCATAACTTGAAGACTAATGGTTGGAATTCAATATAACTACATACAATGGTCAAGCACATTGAGAGGAAGTGCAGTGCATAAGAACCATAACTCTATCTAAAGTAATTACAGAGTTATTGCCCTTTATTACTTTTCCATTGCTTTCTTTTGTCCGGACCATAACTTGAAGACTAATTGTTGGAATTCATTATAACTTCATACAATGGTCCAGCACATTGAGAGGAAGTGCAGTGCACAAGAACCATAACTCCATTTTGACTTATTACAGAGTTACTGCCCTTTGTTTCTTTTCCTTGTCCAGAGCATGACTTTAAAACTACTGGTTGGAATTCAAAACAACTTCATACAATGGTCAAGCACAATAAGGGGAAGTGCAGTGCACAAGAACCATAACTCCATCTTGACTAATTACAGAGTTATTGCCCTTTGTTACTTTTCCATTGCTTTCTTTTGTCCGGAGCATAACTTAAAACGTACTGGTTGTAATTCAAAACAACTTCATACAATGGTCAAGCACAATAAGAGGAAGTGCAGTGCACAAGAACTATAACTCTATCTTCAGTATTTATAGAGTTATTGCCCTTTGTTCTTTTTCTTTGTCTTTCTGGACTTATTACAGAGTAATTCAATTAAACTTCATCAATGGCCAACCACATTGAAAGGAAATGCAACATACATGAACCACAATTATCTTTAATTGCCCACAACCATAACTCTATGTTTCAATTCTTTTACAAGGTATTCTGTTACTAGTAACATCCTCATTTCCGAAGCAGACTTGTGGGGGTATTAATCACATTTAGTGATAGTTCTAGTTTCATTAGAAGTAGACTGGAATACAAGCACACATGCATGTATATACATGTATAAGAGAGATGACTGATCAATTTTGCTCAGTGAAGTGATTTTATATACATTGTACTTCATTCCAAAAATATCAGGACCAAGAAAACTAGTTACTTTCATCATTATTATACTGTAATAAAATCTTTTAAAGTTTATTGTTGGCTATTCCTTATCATGGCTTATGTAGTATCATAAAAGTTTTGTTTTGTACTGTACAGGGCCCCTTCATCCCTGGTTAACAAGAGCCTATGCAGAGTCAGCACCATATCCTAGTGGATCTATCCTAGGTCAGGAGCTGTTTCAAAGTGGAATTATACCTTCAGATACAGACTACAGGATATATAGGGACTTCGGTGACATTCCAGGTACAATACTATATATCCTTAAGCATGCCTTGTAAATGAAGTAAAAATTTGCAATTTTCAATTTGTGTTGCACGTAGCTCAAAAAATATTTGACCTAGAGTCATGAAACTTTCCAGGAGTGTTGGTCAGCATGTGTAGTTGTACACCTAGGTTTTTTTATTTATTTAGAATTTGTAGAGTTATTGCTTTTGACTTAGTAAAAATTTGCAATTTTCAATTTGAATCGTGTGTAGACCAAAAATTATTTGACCTAGTGTCATGAAACTTCAGAAAAAGGTTGATAAGTACGTGTAGTTGTAAACTTAAGGTTTTGCTTGTATATTTATTCAAAATTTGTAGAGTAGAGTAATAAAAATTATTGCCCTTGACTGAGTAAAAAACTTTCCAAAATGTTGTGTCACCTCTAAAAGTGCTAGAATGTTGATCAGCATGTGAAGTTGTGCACATGAGGTTTTACAACCAAGTAACATAAGAAGAATCTTAGTTAAGTCAGATATTTCTAGCGATAAATTCTCGAATGGCAGTTACCCGTGCAAACAAGATTGTCTTACATGTAAATTCATGTCTAATACTATAGAATTTAAAAGTACCGCTACAAATGAAACATTTAAAATCCTTGGACATCATACATGTAAAACTGTAAGCTTAATTTATTTAATAACATGTAAACAATGCAAATTACAGTACGTAGGACAAACTGGCAATTCACTTAGAGATCGATTCTACGGCCATTTAGCCGATATTAGAAGTAAAAACAACGTCAAGCCCGTTTCGCGCCATTTTAATATCAACGGACATTGTGAATTCGACGTCATAATACAAACAACCGAAAGAAACATCAATATCAGATTAAGAACGGAAGAAGTATGGATAAAGAAATTAAAAACAAGAACTCCAAGCGACTTAAATCTTATGTAACATCAGAAGAAATATATTATGCACGAAAATTAACTGAAGAAGATTGGCCAAAACCCAGGTATACCAAATTATGTGAAACCTGCGACATCGTTCACACTGATAAAAACAGATGGTACCAACACCAAAAAACACACGCTGGTGTAATAAGCACTACGCAAGACGGTATTCGCTTAAAAGACACTCCATAAATCTACATGGATTTAATGAAACAAAGTTCGAATGTATCAAAATCGATAAACCAAGAACCACACCCAAACCAACTGAAAGCAAATATAAAATATTAAAAAAGATGCCAACATTTAGAATCATTAACAATAGAGGAACACCACAACTAATCAACAGAAAACAGAACAGAAAAACTAAGAATACCAACAAAACACAGAAGATCCACATGGACATTGAAACTATGGACTTTCAAATACCAGAACCAATATCCCCATTAAATCCAAGTAAGAACAACAGCTCAGAAACCTTGTGTGAAGATGAATTTGGACAGTACAGTCACACAAATGAACAGATAATTTCTATTGGATCCATTTATGGTATTTTTCATGAAACTAAGTAGGACTTATAATAACAACATATATATTTCATTTTAGACTTAATAACAACATATTGGCAAAATTCCAAAAAATTAGTGGCATACTTCCAGAACGAAACCAAATATAGTATTGTCACGTGACTTTTTAGTTTACCCATTTTGTATACTTCAGGGCCTAAATTTTAAAATATTTCTGTATTATCCTGATGAAGGTCATTATATGACCGAAACCGGTAGATAAATAAATTAACGTAAACCCGCTCTGGTGTTCCTGACGTGTTGTTCTTCATCCCCTCCTTGATTACTTAGTTTATGGGGTTTTACATGTCGATTAATTTAGTTTTGTTACAGTTATTGCCCTTGAGTTTAGTTTAATTTTGAAGTTTTCAACTTGTGTTTTGTATAACTCAAAAGGTATTTGACCTGGAGTCCACTGTTGGTCAGCATGTGTAGTTTTGAATCTTGAGTTCTTTCTTGCTCTTAATTTCTTTTAAGCATAATTTAGGATTTAAAATTGAGGTTTGAAAATATTGGGATTTGGGAAAAAACGAGATGTCAACATTGGAAAAATTGGATGATTTTTTTATGTTCCAACCACTTGGGGGAGGGGGTAGTCATGTAGAATATCCTTTGTGTGTCAGCCTGTCATACTGTCCTGTTGTATGTCAGTAGACTCACCAAACAGTGGATCCGTGTCCTATTGACACATTTTTTGTTTTAACTAAAATGTTCTATATGTTTAATGAAACTGTTGCAAAATTATACATTTGATTTGATTTTAGTAGCACATTGAATTTGAAATAAGGTTATTTACACAACTATGACTAATATTCATGTTAAGATACTGACCATGATTACAACTTTCTGTGTAGTTAATTAGATTCTGAATCAGAAACTAAGAAATTGTAAGTCTAGGTCCTGAATCCTTTGCCTTCATACCCAGTTGTTGCAACTGTTAAGTTATATATAATTTATGTATTACACGGTTGATTTTGGACTGTATAACTCATTGTCTATGATTTTCAGGTCTTGATATAGCTTATATTACCAATGGATATGTTTATCACACACAAAATGATCAAAACAGATTTATACACCAAGGATGTCTACAGAGGGGAGGTAACTCGTTGTTTTTGACTAATGAAATTTCAGGTTTCCTGTTTAAAAACATTCATTTTTGTATTAATATTGACATCTGCTAAATTCATCATTTTGATTATTGTTTATAGAAGATAAAAAATAAATTTGTTGGATTATTTTTTTCTTCAAATTTTGCTGCCTATTTTTAAAAAGCTACCTATATTTTCTATGGCAGACATCATTTTTTACTTTTCTGGATTTAGATTTGTTTTATTAAAACTATGTTGTAGGTGTTAAAAATGTAACGAAACTGTTACGATATAGAGATATAGTTGAAATGTGTTTAATATATAATAAAGTTCAACTACAAAACTTTTGTATCATACACATATAATTACAGGTGAAAATCTTCTGGCAGTTTTGTGGGAGCTGTCCAAAAGCTCTCATCTGGCAGATCCAGGACCTGAGAAAGATGGTACCATGATATTCTTTGATCTCGTTGGTTATGTAATGATCTATTATCCACAACGTGTAGCAGTTGTCATCAACAGTGCACTGATGGCGGCCATCTTATTCAGAATTATACGGAAAACATTCAACATTGATAGATCTGGTATGTTCTTCTGGTATTTTGAGTGCTTGCCTGAATGCACTGTTTGCAAGTGTGCATTGTATTAGTATGCAATCATAAAAAATATTTATATTTATTGACATTGTTTAAAGTAAGGAAATTAAAGATATCCTTGAAGAATTTTCTGTTATTACAAAAAAAAACAATGTTTTATTTGTAATTTTATTATTGAGTCATATATCTTTTCACTACAGATATAAGTCTACAGATATCATTCATGTATGTATTGCATTGATGTACATGTATTAATTATCAAAATACATAAAAACTATTTGGTCTGCTAATCATATTCCCATACACAGGCTTTCAAGCGGGCCCTACTTTTCCTATTTTTCCTACTTTTCCCTACTTTTTTGTTTGACCCCTACTTTTCCCTACTTTTTTCTTAAAATGCCCTACTATCCCTACTTTTTTAAGAAAAAAGATCGAGGATAGTTGATAAAAAATCCAGTATAAGTAGTAGATTGATTTTGAGATAATCTTTACCTCAAATTAAATAAGAATCAGATGCTAGTTTAATTGTAGGAAAAAGTTGATGGATGTAGGTCATCAGTGGTGCAAGAGGGGTTCCATGATGAGGATGGTTGGAGTTGACATGGCAGAATCAGCGACTTTAGGTGAGTTTGCTTCTATAGAAATATTACTTAGTGTTCAATTATTTTTTATGTTTCATTTCAAAATTATAATATGATTTTGAACACAGACTAGCTTCTCAATTGTTTCATTTCAAAATTATAATATGTTTTTGTACACAGACTAGCTTCTCAATTGTTTCATTTCAAAATTATAATATGTTTTTGTACACAGACTAGCTTCTCAATTGTTTTATTTCAAAATTATAATATGTTTTTGTACACAGATTAGCTTCTCAATTGTTTCCCAATGATGCTTATACTGTCAGAGGACAATACTTGCCAACACCTTTGAGCATATATAGATTTTAGGCAATGTTTGGCATATTGGCAAGTATTGAACTTGCTCACTGTGATCATTTTGTCCTGAATTTTCATTGAATGAAAGATACTGGAAAAATGTAGAGAATGTTTCTGAAAAATATGCATGCTTTAATTAGATAGAATTTGATAGCTTTAATATGGTGGGGGATTAGGAATCTTGTTCTTGTAACAGATAATTTAAGAATAACTAACTGTGTGTTTAGGCTTTCAGTGTGCCAATTATAAGTAATAACCATTAAAGATGTGAGAGATTGTTGTTGCATCCAAAGTTTACATAACAGGTTTTTTGCTCTCTATCATTAAATATATATATATTTATATAATATGGCATAAATACTCATATAAATACTCTACCTTGGAATTATCTGAGACCTACTTCTTGCAAGTGTCATTAAGTTTCTTTTTAAATTCCATTTTACTAACAATATATTATTTCAGGTCCATTAATTTATAAAATTAACTTCACAATGCCACATGGACTCACAAAATTTAACAATGCATGTTAATGTATATGCTTTGCTCTGTAGTAGTGTGCATATATTTCTTTGGGTAGCAGGCTTTACTATACTAATATCTATAGTTCTGCATTAATACATTATGAAGTGTATTTGTCAGTTTTGCATGTACTAACTTTGCATACTAAGAGCTTGTGTATATATCTCAAAATTTACTATTGATTGTTACAAGTATCTATTTTGCATGCCCATGTAAACTCCATGCATAACTAGGATGCTAGTAAACTTTTGCTTTTTTAACATTTACTCCTTTTCATTCAGTGTGTTATAATGCTAGTTAAAAAATCATGTTTTAACACCTATCCTTGTTCTAGTCTGTGTTTCACATATTATGCTAGCTAAAACCATGTTTTTGCACATAACGTTTTTCTTGTTTGTATTTTGTAACAACCATGCTATCTTAAACAAGGTTTTAACACATTTCCTGTTTCTAGTCTGTGTACAAAAACATGCTTACTTAATGTTTAATGTTGCTAATAGTCTGTGTTCTGACATATTCATTGTTTATAGTTTTCTGTTATTATTTGGAATTTGATCTAATAGAAAAAATACCAATTCCAGGTTCATGTCCAGATTCATCCTGTTGTGGAATCCCTATTGAAACACTGGTGACTGGTTTCCTAAATGAAGAAAATGCCATGGATATTAGTTGATAAGGGTCTGTATTTGTTTTTGCAATCAACTTTGGAAAAAGGTGAGTAGAGAGTCCTACTTTCCCTACTTTTAGGCTCTGAAAATCCCTACTTTTCCCTACTTTTTTACAAAAAAAATCCTACTTTTATCCCTACTTTTTTGTTATTGGCCACTTGAAAGCCTGCATACAGAGAAGTGCGGATTTACTGCTTTAAACATGTCAGAAGGTCATCTGTCCATAGACTAGATCTTGTTTGTTTAATAACTTTAGGTCCATTTTGGCCTACAGTCTTCAGATTTAATGTAGAAGTTGACTGCTTAGAGAACTTTGTGCCCAAAGCCATCAGATTTTTTTGGTATATTGATCATGACTGATAGTTGAACCCTATGTATATTGGGATTTTAGGTCAAGTCTAAAAAACTAGCCTACAGTTTACAAGAGTACATCATTACCAATAGTTTGCTATTAGAGATATACGTGTTTTTTCAAATGTCACTTCTTTCATTTTCATCTGTCCACTAAAAAGAACTCTTCCAACTGTGCTACTTTGAATATGAGACATTATTTTCATCTGTGCATTTTGTCCAAAAGACTTTTTGATTAAGTTTATATGCTTTATTTCAGACTGAACAAAACAATCGCAAAATTATTCAAAACAGATTTTGTATGAATTTCTTATTTTCAGATAATCATGATGTGAAGTATTTCCAAAATCTACTTAAAGCAATGTTTTTCATGGCCTTGACATATATCCTGGTGATACTGACAACGGTTGCCATGGCGCTGCTAGTAACACTCTGTGGTCGCAATATGAGCTGGTTCACACACAATTATAACCTTATACCTCTATTTCTGATACCACCATGTATAACAGTTCTTATGATGCATGAAGCTCTTAAAGGCTCATTATTTAAGGTAGTGAAGTATAATTTTGAGATGGTTTTAATTGTTTTATTCTGCTTTTGACCTGACATTTTTATCTTGACTATTGGAATAATAAGAGCTGTCTTACTCACTCGAGCTTTGGACATTTTAAGTCCACAAAGGGCCATAACTGGTACATAAAAATGCCTTATTAAAGTTTTGATTGCAATATCAATCTCCAAAACAGCTGCAGGTATGCACTTGTCACATGTCTTTGCAATCATAATTAGAAGTCACTGTTTAAGGTCTATTACTCTGGCACAGATTTGGATGAATTCTGGCCGTCCAATTTGTCTAACTAGTTTGACTGTCTTTAAATGTGATTTAGTATCTTAATTACAGAAAAGTTAATATTGAATGTGTCACAGAATGTATTGTTTATTTGTTTTTATTGTTCTTTTATTTTTTCAGAATAATATATCTTGGTACAATGAGCAGATATTTTTTGAAGCAAACATGACAATCTGGAGTATTTTAATGTTGATGTTGACATTGAAGGGGATAGGAAGTGCTTTTTTCCCAATGTTGTATGTGCTAGGTCCTTTATTTATCAGAGATAGAACTCTTTGGATCTTCAAAAATAGAAACTGGAAACGTAAGTGTATGATAATTTTTGTTGGGTTTTTTTCACTTTTTTTAATATTATGTATGACTCAGGGCACCTTGTAAAAAAAACTTATTGCAGTGACGGCCTTGTAAGTTTTATTACAAAACATAATTTTTAAATGACATTGCACTAGCACTAGAAAGCATGCTTTAATGGTTTTTTACCAAATCAGACAGTTACTATTTTATGAAAGAAAAACGCTAGTGCACCTTTTTTCGTGCATTACCATTTTCAGAAGCCCTCAGACCTATTAATTCCCTGGCTCTACAGACTCAGGTTTTAAATGTGTCCTCGTGCCCATGTATAGTACCAAACCACGCACTGTCTGCTGTGTGTATGATATGGTAAGGTATTAAAGTAAAAAAGAAATTAAAAGATACTAGTAATAGAACAAAACTTAATTGAAATTATATTGATGGTTTTATTTATTCATGTCTTATATTTGTAGGTCATCCATACAGATTTTTCTGTCTACATTTACTGGGATTGTTCATACCAAGTTTGATAACAATCTACGTAGGAAATGCTGTTGCAATTTTATTTCTGCCAATATTAGGAAGGACTGGAACAGAAGTGAACTCTGATGTTGCTATAGGTGTTATCTGTTCATTCTTTCTTGTTCTTTTATCAGGCTATCTAGTAAGTTCATTTAAATACATAGATAATTTAAAGATAAACTATGCTGATCTATGACTAAAATTTTTACCTCAGAAACTTATTAAAATCTATGAAATTCTTACTGAATATGTCTAATTTGAATAAAAGAATGAATAAACTATGTATGGGAGCCTGCATAATGCCTATATATTCATATTGTGACCACCTATATTGTGTAGAATTTAAACGTAACATATCTACTTTGTGTGATTTCAAAACATGTTTATTTAATATTTACATAGGGACTGTGTAGCAATCATCAATATTTTCTAATATCAAATTAGAGCATAGTATATCTTTAAATACTAATAGATAATAAGTGATACATGTTTATTTATTTACTGGAAAACACAATTTTTACAGAAGAATATAATGAATTCTAAAGTATGCAAAGCAAGAGATTCATTTCTTCTTATCCAAATTGAATGTCCTTATTCTATTTTGCATATGAAATATACATAAGAGGTTCATGTTTAATACTGTTACTCTGTCTGGAGAAAATATGTGTCAATACACTTGTATGTCTTAAAGCAGGTTATTTCTTAAAACATATTTTAGTGAACAATTCAGAGGATATCCTAGAAGCTATGAACATATGTGAATATTTTTTATGACACATTCACTGAACAATGACAAGAAAAAATACAGTAAAAATTTATAGTATAGGCAGCGATTTTTCTCACTTAATTGGGAAGAGGCCTTAGTCTCTTTAATTTGGGGGAAATTATTGCTAAAATTGATAATTTGGGAAGTAAAAAAGCCGGTTTAAGTTCATATGTTTGGAAAACTGCATGATTTTAAAGAAAATTTCAACTGGCAAGAAGCCTTTTATAGAGTCTGCTATATAAGCAGGAAATTTACTGATAGGGCATGACATTTTGTAAGATATTGATATTGTTACAACTAACATAGTTTTTAAGAATTTTTTTAGATATGAACAATTGAATCTTTTTGACATTTCAGGTTAGTTTAATATATTTGTGTGGTAATATGAAAAAAGTCATATCATTCTTGAGTGCCATATCAGCTGTCTATGTACATATGAATCTTTTTGACATTTCAGGTTAGTTTAATATATTTGTGTGGTAATATGAAAAAAGTCATATCATTCTTGAGTGCCATATCAGCTGTCTGGCTTCTGGCTATAGTGTTTACACCACTAGGATTTCCTTATAGTGGGAACCAGCAACAACCTTCACCAATGAGATTGTTAGCTTTGGTAAGTAGTTCCTTTATCAACTAGCATCTATAAATTTAATTTAAGATTGCCTTAAGATTACCATCTATGTTATGTATGTTCTAGGAGAAACACTTGCTTCTAGTTTTATTAATTTTTAGCGTGTCTGTTACTAGTATAAAGAAAATTGTATGAAAATTGGTTATTGATAGTCATTGCCCTAAGGTAAACAAATGAGCTTAAAACATGGTGTTTGGTTGATCATGTTGAAATTTGCAAGTAAATTTAACAATAAATAGTGTAACTATTTATTATAACTCATTTATGTAGATATGGTGGAACGAGAACATTCACATATAGTAAGACCTTACTCTTAGGGATCATTTCTATAGTAAGTGTCGCCAGGACGTCAGGTAAAACTGACGAGACCCTATAGTACATGTATATATTGCAGCATGCAAGAATTCACATATTGTACATGTATATATTGCAGCATGCAAGAATTCACATATTGTACATGTATATATTGCAGCATGCAAGAATTCACATATTATACATGAATATATTGCAGCATGCAAGAAGAAGAGCTCATGATATTCAGGGAACAATGACGTATGAGGATTCTGGGATATGGTTAATACCATTTGACTACAACAACAACAGACAACTTATTGCTGCCATGCCAAGGCTACAAGAGGCAGAAAAAGTGCAATGTCATCTAGGCCCATACTGTGGGGTTCCATTTATCATCCCTGTCATTGATATGCTGCATCCCAAGTAAGATCTTTATAAAATCTATTATTTACTTTAAGGTATGTACTAGATAATATAAAACTTTACAAATTTCAACTTGATGCAAAAATAATTTAAAAGTGTAAGAAATGTGTAATTATTCATATTTGTGTGATAAGAAGCATGTTTTTACCCTGTTAGTCACTTGCAAAATTAGGGCTGTTTTTGGATATTTTGACACATTATAGATTATTTTTGTGACGTTTAAATGACTTTGATAGCCTTATGAAACATTTAAAGGCCCATTCAGTCCAAAAGAAGATAAAACTTTTATTGCTAAAAACATTTTATTTCTGGTGTTAAAGTTTCAAAAAAATACTTATTGACCACAAAGCTGAAACATCTTTCTTTCATTTTGGAATTCAGTACTGTTATAGAGATTAAATACTTGGAATGAATCTCAAAATACCGCTTTGTTTACATTACCTGGCTACCTTTATGGCAAATTATTTCAAAAGCAGTGTGTCTTCATTAAAATTATAACATAGATGCTCTAAATCCATTTATAACAAATATAGTATTAAACATATGTTTGCTCTTTCTAAAGAACAAAATGTTTACATATTTGTGGGAATTAATGTGCCTTTAATGCATTGATTAATGATTATTTCAGAAATAGTTTATATATGGCAGTAAACAAACATGACAGACCAGATGTGATATGTAAGAAAGTTCAATCAGAAAAGGATGAGATAGGTCTTACAAAACTGACATTTGAAGTTACAGGTAAATTTATCACTTGTCTGTATTCCATCTTGATTTTCAGCTCGATTATTTAAGGAATTGTGGTGCTATTCTTCCAGTCTGTCATTGGCTAAATACTTGGCTTTTGTTTTATAAGCAGATTGTTATCTCATAAACCATTGAAGATATTCAACTGAATTTATGTCTTTGAAATTATGGTTAAGTCTCATAACTTAAATTTTACTGAAATTTGTATTTTTACTGAAGTATACTAGTTCTATGTCAACAATCACTGATGGTATTAGCTTCAAACTTCTCACATGTCTTTGAAGTTTTAGTTGTTGTTGAAGACTATACATTTTAGCATAGATTTGACTGTATTATACCTCTGCTAAAATAGGTCTTGTATTATCTTACTATCAAAGACTGATAAATCTTACTATCAAACACTGATAATAGTTGAGCTTTCTGTCTGTATTACAGCTCTTGTTTATCATTCTTTATTAATATAACATCTAAATAGACTTTATCTAGATTTCTGTTAACATTACTTGGCTAATAATACTAGCAAAAACATCAAAGATGTTTCAGATTGGACCATTTTTGACCATGTGGTTAAGTCGCATTGAATTTGAATGACTTAGCTGTCACTACTGAGTTTTTAATCCCACTTGGCAGATAATTTTTTTTTGCATGTGAGAAAGTACTCAAGCTTAAATAATTTCAGTTTGTATGTAATGTGGAACATAAGGTGGGGGGGGGTTAAATTAAAGTCTGCAATTTAATCCGAGAATTCATTTTTAAAAAGTTTTTAGTTTGGGTTTGGTAATTTTATTTTACTTTTCACTTCCATTGATTCTGTATGTAATTTTATTTTACTTTTCACTTCTATGGTTACTGTATAATATTGTAGAGTTCTGGTTAACTATAGATTACTTGAATGTTTAATCATTACTCTCCAGGTCCTGATCATATCACATTACAAGTACGTCCACATCATGGCGTGTCCCTACAGAAGTGGAGTGTTAGTGAATATAGGCCGTATCCAGCAGCCATGCCACCTGATGTGAATGAAACTACATATTTTGTTTACTATTCTCACGGTGAAACTCCTGCAACTCCGTGGACATTTTCTCTACATTTCAAGGCAAGTTCTACTAAAATTTACCAACTATTGTAATTAAAGGGTACAAATCTATATGTTATGAAATATTTTTATAAAATTTATCAATGGGGGAATTATATTGATTCCATTATTATTTGCGTTTGATTATTAGCCCCCTACCAGTTTAACCGGAGGGGACTTTAGGTTTACTGTCCGTCTGTCCGTCTGTCTGTCAGTCCGTCAGTCCGTCCGTCCACAAAACTGGATCCCGCGATAACGCAAAAAGTACTGAAAATATTTTTATGAAACTTGATATATGGATAGATGGCAGTATGGAGATTATGCACGTCTTTTTTTTTTCTTCCTATGTTGAAAATTCTGGTTGCTATGGCAACAAATAGTCTGAAAATATGGCAAATTTAACACATAAACTGGATCCAGTGATAACTCAAAAAGTACTGAAAATATTTTTATGAAACTTGAAATATGGGTAGATGGCAGTCTGGAGATTATGCACATCTTTTTCTTTTCTTCCTATGTTGAAAATTCTGGTTGCTATGGCAACAAATAGCCTGAATTTCAAGATTTCTGATAATATCAGTAACAAAAATATCAGTATTACCTCCCTTGAACTTAGATTTTTTAGGGGAAAAAATGTTGTCTTTTTTAAATAACTTCTTTATTTCCTAATGTATCTACTTCAAACTTCATATATATGTTTCTTATTATCACTCGACATTTTTGAGAAGGTTAAATACTCTAGCAAGACTATTTCCAGAATTATGTCCCCCTTGAACTTAGATTTTTTTCGAGAAACTGGTATTTTCACTCCAACTTCTTCATTCCTTATAGGATTTACTTTAAAATCCCACATCGTAATAATATGACAAGGTTGTATAAACATAATTTCCTTACTAAGCATGGAAACTTAACACATTACTGTGATATAGACAAACTTATTTTATTATGTTTTGTGGTTGATATTTTCAAATACAGACTTCATCCTCAAATTCATTATAAATGGCAATACACAGGAGTGTATGACAATTAAAGAACTTTTTGAGGGACCGGTAGGGGACTACTGTATTGCCCGCAATACTATCAAATGCTTGTTGAAAATGTAGTAACATAGAATGTCTCTGTTATTTAACTAACATGAATATTGTACGTAAACAGAATGAAATGTTCTGGAACAAAATATTACTTTGCTGTTTTAAGCAGTGTTTTATCCCTTTAGCAATGACTTTGTGCATGCCCCACTCGCTTTAAGGAAATCTATTGCCATTTTTAGCTCACCTGTCACTTTGTGACAGGGTGAGCTTTTGTGATCGCTTTTCGTCCGGCGTTCGTCCATCGTTCGTCCATCGTCCGTCCATCGTCCGTAAACTTTTACTTTAAATGACATCTCCTCATAAACCACTAAGCCAATTTCATCCAAACTTCACAGGAATGTTCCTTTGGTGGTCACCTTTGAAATTGTTCAATGAATTTAATTCCATGCAGAACTATGGTTGCCATGGCAACAAAAAAAAAAACTTTAGATATCTTCTTCTAAAAAACCCAAAGAGCTAGAGCTTAGATATTTGGCATGAAACATCTTCTAGTGAGTGTCTACTAAGTTTGTTCAAATAAAAGCCCTGGGGTCAAAATTGACCCCGCCCCAGGGGGTCATTGATTTACCATATATGTATATAGTAAAAACTTAAAAAATCTTCTTTTAAAGAACCCAAAGAGCTAGAGCTAAGATATTTAGCATGAAACATCTTCTAATGGGTGTCTACCAAGTTTGTTTAAGTAAAAGCCCTGGGGTCAAGGGGTCATTGATTTTTCCTATATGCATATAGTAAAAACTTAAAAGTCTTCTTTTAAAGAACCCAAAGAGCTAGAGCTAAGATATTTAGCATGAAACATTTGTAATGGATGTCTACCAAGTTTGTTCAAATAAGAGCCCTGGGGTCAAAATTGGCCCCGCCCCGGAGGACATTGATTTTCCTTATATGTGTATAGCAAAAACTTCTTCGAAAAAAACCTGAATAGCTAGAGTTTAGATATTAAGCATGAAACATCTTCTAGTAAGTGTCTACAAAGGTTGTTCAAATAAAAGCCCTGGGGTCAAAACTGGCCCTGCCCCAGGGGTGTCATTGTTTTTAAATATATGTGTAAAGAAAAAACTTAAAAAAATCTTCTTTTAAAAAACCCAACGAGCTAGACCTTAGATGTTTAGCATGAAACATCTTCTAAAGGGTGTCTACCAAGTTTGTTCAAATAAAAGCCCTGGGGTTTATACTGGCCCTGCTCCAAGGGGCCTATATACAGGTGAGCGACTTCAGGGCCATCATGGCCCTCTTGTTATTTCATACAAACATTTTGGAAGTATTCTTTTTTAAAATCCAAACAATAATTTTTGCATCAGATATATAGCTGTATACACTTTAAGCTGTATATGTAAATTGAAAATTGAACTTTTTGAAACTAGTTTGAGAGAAATAGAGTCCCACTGTGTCTGAGATAAATATTTCATTGATTTTGGATATTTCGCATATCAAAAGCATGCACAATATCACATCTGGGAAAAAACAGTGTAATACATTAATTAAAGTATACCTAAGTACAGAAGCACACTTCATGTATCAGTTATATATAAGTTAATGTATATATTTATAGGTTCCTGTTAATCATGATACAAGTAAAGGAATAGTGGACATTGGTTTAGCCGGCCACTATTTACACAGTGATGATAAACATACCACAGAACTGGACGCTTTCTTGGCTCAGACTCCTGATTGGACCACACCAGTCACATGGTCAGCTTCCTGGGATGGTTTTGTATTTTAATTGTTTGAACACTAGAAGGGTTACTGTTTAGCATATATCACCAATATACCTTGTGATGTTTTTTTTAAGAGTTTTTGAATGATTGTTTGTTTGTTTTTTTTTTCTTAAAAGAGAGAAATGATTTTGTTTAGAACAGTATTTATACCCCCACCATTTAAATTGGGGGGGGGGCTATACTAGAACCACTGTTTTGTGTCAGTCTGTCAATAGATTGGACAGTCTCCAATCTTGTGTCCACTCTATAAATCCTATACCCATTGAAGGATTTTCTTTAAACATGGCTCAATATTTTTATGCCCCCGCCATGTAATGGCCGGGGCATATAGTGTTACCCTGTTCCGTCATTCCGTCCTTCCGTCCTTCCGTCCTTCCGTCATTCTGTCATTCCGTCATCATCAGTTTCCGTTCATTATCTTAAGAACGGTTGGGCACATTCAACTCAAATTTGACATATGGATATGTCATGAGAAAATACAGGTCAAGTTCGAATTTGGTCATGGTTCGATGATTTTTGGCAGAGTTATGCCCCTTTTACTTTGAAAATAATATAAAATTTCAGTTTCCGTTCATTATCTCAAGAACGGTTGGACACATTCAACTCAAACTTGACATATGGATATGTTATGAGAAAATACAGGTCAAGTTCGAATTTGGTTATGGTTCGATGATTTTTGGCAGAGTTATGCCCCTTTTACTTTGAAAAATATATGAAATTTTCAGTTTCTGTTCATTATCTCCCCAACGGTACAACACAATCAACTCAAACTTGACATATGGATATGTCATGAGAAAATACAGGTCAAGTTTGAATTTGGTCATGGTTCGATGATTTTTGGCAGAGTTATGCCCCTTTCACTTTCAAAATAATATTAAATTTTCAGTTTCCGTTCATTATCTCCCTCAAGGTACAACACATTCAACTCAAACGTGACATATGGATGCGTCAATGGAATGCGCAGGTCAAGTTCAAATTTGGTCATGGTTCAATGATTTTTGGCAGAGTTATGCCCCTTTCACTTTGAAAGTAATATGAAATTTTCAGTTTCCGTTTATTATCTCCCCAATGGTACAACACATTCAACTCAAATTTGACATATGGATATGTTTTTGGAATGCCCAGGTCAACTTCAAATTTGGTCATGGTTCAATGATTTTTGGCAGAGTAATGCCCCTTTCACTTTGAAAATAATATGAAATTTACAGTTTCTGTTCATTATCTACCTAACAGTGTTACATATTCAATTTTAATTTGACATATGGATATGTCAAAGGAATGGGCAGGTCAAGTTGGAATTTGGTCATGGTTTGATGGTTTTTTGGCAGAGTTATGTCCCTTTCACTTTGAAAATAATATAGATACATCTTAGGAATAAGCAGTTTAAGTTTGAATTTGGTTGTGGTTCAATGATTTTAGACAAACTTATCTTTCTTGAATATTGGAAAAAATTTGAACTTTCAGTTTCAGCACTCATACTTTTAGCCATTATTTTGGCTACAAATATGCAATATGCTTTTTCTAAAGGTTAAGACTGAATAATTTCAGTGCCTTGAACGTTGTATGGAAATGGTTTGTGTTAACATTGAAAAGTTTTAAGGGCTTTGAACTTAAAATGAAAAAAGAAAAATTAATGCACCATCTGAAATTTTGGCTGCATGCGGGGGCATCCGTGGCATGATGACACATTTCTAGTTTCTTAAAAGTATGTTGTGAAGAACCCATGCGGCTGCTTTGCTGCCTCAAGGTCAAAGTGAAAGTCAAATGTCACAATTTTTGTGTAAACTCAATAAATCCTCTACTATTTTAAGGATTTTCTTCAAACTTGACTCAAATGTCCACCTTGACAGTATGATTTTCACAACCCATGCTGCTGCTGTGCTGATTCAAGGTCAAGGTCATTCTTGAAAGTGAATGTTGTCCAAATGATAAGTTCAACACACCTTGAATGACTTCTTAAAACTAAGCTCAAATGTTCACCTACCAAAATGATGATAACTGAACATACATAAAACCTTGTGTTAAAGATAATGGTGGGGTATATGTCACTCTTGTGGCTGCTTTAATTTTTGTTTTGTTTTTGAACAACATTATTGTACCCCCACTATAGGGGGGCATTTAGATTTACCTTTGTCCGTCCGTACGAACCCAGAGGTACTTGTGTGATTTGGAGAACAATGGGTAACAGTAAATTCTCTTTGATCCTATTCATTCCGTTTTTACTTGTGTGTCTTTTTTTAAGCCTTGAGTGACTAAAAAAGGCCAAAAAGATCAAAGGAAAAGTCACATAAGTACCTTTTGTGAGTTTGTACGTCTGTTTGTCCTTCCGTCCGTCCGTTCCCTTTTTGTGTCACATGTAGCCCAAAAAGTAATTGACCTAGAGTCATGAAACCTTACAGGAATTTTGATCAGCATGTGAAGTTGTGCACCTGGGTATTTTCATGTGGATATATTTAGTATTTTTTTAGTTATTGCTCTTGACTTAGTAAAAATTTGCAATTTTCAACTTGTGTTGCATATAACTCAAAAAATATTTGACCTAGAGTCATGAAACCTTACAGGAATGTTGATCAGCATGTGAAGTTGTGTACCTGGGTATTTTCATGTGAATATATTTAGTATTTTTAGAGTTATTGCCCTTGAATTAGTAAAAATTTCCAATTTTCAACTCGTGTCGCACATAACTAAAAATGTATTTGACCTGGAGTAATCAAATGTTACAAGAATGTTGCTCAGTGGTGCATCTTGGTATTTTCGTGTGGATATTTTTAGTATTTTTAGAGTTATTGCCCTTGACTTAGTAAAAATTTCCAATATTTAACTTGTATTGAATGTAACTCAAAAAGTTTATGACCTGTAGGCCTGAAAGTTTACAAGAATGTTGGTCATCATGTGTACTTATGCACCTTGGGGTTTTCTTGTGGCTTTATAAAGTATTTGTAGTATTTGCCCTGTACTTAATAAAAGATTTTTAGTTTTCAACTTGGGCACATGTAGCCCAAAAAAAAATTTGACCTAGAGACATAAGATTGATAAATCGGTGGAGTGTGGGGGCAACCGTGTCCTATGGACACATTTCTAGTCTATCACACAGTTTTACGTGTGTTTTTTAAATATCACTTTTTACCTTTATTTCCTATGATATTTGTTGTACTGTACAGAAGCAATTCCAGAACAAATGTTGGCAAATATGCAGACACCCTACACAAGCAAGCTATTACTTAATCAAATTTGATTCACATGTTTTCTAATCTAAAATTTGACTCTAATAAAAAGTTTTTTGTATATAGACATGTAATTTTATATCTTTGATAATTGTATATATTGGTACAAGTTGATTATTTGCTTTGTTATTGTTATTTTATTATTTTGAAATTAGGTAATTAATTTTTTATGAATTGTTTTTGAATTTTTTCTGTGATTAGTATCTGTCCCTGAAGATTACAGTTGATGAATATTATTAGCTCAATTAGATATTTAATAATGTTATATTTTTTTATATGAAAGTTTTAGGATATTATATATAATTATATATATGTATATGCTGAGGTAACATATCACTGCCAATATTTCTTTTTTATAGTAAAAGGTCATATAAACTTACTAGTATCTGACAGAAAGTACAGAATATGGAAGTGTATACATGTAGTTTAAAAAATCTAGTTATTGTTTAAAATATGCCTTTACAGAAGTAAAATAAATCATTTAAACATCAAACTTATAAAAAAAATGAGTGATGCAATACAGATGTAACTTAGATTTTTTTTCACCAGAATTCAACCTCAATATTAATTGAGTAAGAGAAATGTTTGCATATTTTAAAAAGTCACAGGTAATCACTCTAAATAATACTGAAAAGGTTAGGTAAAATAATTTTAGATTTGAGAACATCTTTACTCATTTGAACAATTTTTCATTAAGTCAAAAAATATAATATATAGTCATAAATATTAACTTAAATCCCAAGGTATGCTGATTTAAAATTGTGGAGTTTTTTGGTGTTTTTTTTTTTTTAAATTCTTCCTGCCAATTATGGTCAGAATTGAGTGTTTGGAAGAAATATGTAGATATTTTCAATCTAGATGATCAATGTTAGGTTTAGAAATACTTAGTGTAAGTTACTTATACATGTTTTAACTAGTCAAAAATTTATAAAGTATAGCTACAGAAGCATTCTAATTTTCCATGTTTATTAGTAAATCATTTTAGTTATCTTAACTAACCTTATGAAAAGGTCATTTTAAATCTTTTTATTTTTTCAAAGCATTATTTATGGTTTGTCACCAATTATATACACCAATATATAAGGTATTGACACCAAAAAAATTACACCAAAGTGAAGTTGATATTAAGTTAAATGTTTTATCACTGAAATATTTTACAGGGAGTTGATGAAACAATTTTACTGTATATGTTCACATTAAACAAAATAATTATGTTTTAAAAATGTTCAGTATTTATGGAACAATTTTTTATGCTTAATGTAGAGTTGAAGTGTTATATATATTATATGTATGTTTTCAGACTAGCATTTTTTAATAATTCCATTTAACCTAATTTATTTTAATCATTTCTCACCAATGTAATTGTTAAATAATCAAGAAAACTATGCACATAATTTATTTACTACCTCAACACATACAAAGTGACTGTTTTTATTGTTTTATTGAATATCATTATTAACCAGGTTTTCCGAAGGAAAAAACTGGTTATTAGATTGAGGTATGTCGGCGGCGGGCGGGCGGATGGGCGGACGGGCGGGCGTAAACAATTTCTTCTGTGCGCAACTCCTCCTACATTTCTCAACGGATTTTTGACCAAACTTTCACAGAAGCTTTGTCATCAAGTGCCCTGGCGCATATTGTCGGGGTTTTGCGATTAGATAATATTTGACCTAATTATGGCCCTTTTTTTTTTTTTCCTTATATAAAATATATAGTGAACAATTTCTTCTGTGCGCAACTCCTCCTACATTTCTCAACGGATTTTGACCAAACTTTCTCAGAAGCTTTGTCATCAAGTGCCCTGTCACATATTGCCAGGGTTTTGCAAATTGGTATATATTTGACCTAATT